CGAGCTCCCCTAAAGCCGCAACAGAGACTCAGGATACTTAAAACCTATCTACTTTCTAGGTTTACACATGGTCTGGTCTTAGGCAGGGTGACATACGGTCAGCTGAGAAAACTGGTGTAACGTCCAGACAAATTTCAAAATTTCAATCTTTTTCAAAAATTTATCCTTTAACATATTAATTATGACAATCTCTAACCTACATGAAAGACCGGTATAAACAATTTAATCTCACATATAATTACTTATAAGTTAAAACATGTCTTCTCACAAATGACAACGGGAGTAGCAACCCACTTTTAAATAATATTTTTATCATAAAAAGCATAATTAACAAGGGTGCTTTGCTCCGGATCATTCGTTAGGAAACATAAAAGTTAGAGAATAAGCGCGCCTAAATCAGACAACGAATGTATGTTCTAACCCCTGAAACACCTTACACATTGCATGCTACTAATGCCCCTGTATACGCTACACCATTTATACTTGCGAACCCCTAGGCACCGTACACATTGTATGTCCATAACCCCTAATTATACTATACCCGTCGTACGCTCCAACCCCTGAGTGTTTTACACACTTCATACAGCCACGAACATGTAGATCTAGTCCTTAGGCGATGCTTTACTGACCAACATATAACACAAACGAATCCCTCAATACCGATCACCGACGTTAAAGACGGAACTACTAACTTACCTACCCAAGATAAGATCAACTAATGGTAAAACAGAGACTTGTTCTATCAACTACAGATAAAACTTGCCCACTAATGATAAGGTAGAAAGCTACCTTACCGACCGACGACGTTATAAAAATTGACATTACCGACCAATGATAAACAGGAACTTGACTTACCAACTACAGATGATTAAGTAGGAAACTACCTTACCGACTAACGACAAATATGAAGACTAACATTACCAGCCAATAAGCACGCCTATGGCAAATATATTATTAACCTTAAAATTCTCATTTGCAAATTAGGAGACACAAATCATATGCAATATGCGTAATAACATTACATTCGTCATACAATCGAAAGTATTATAGCTATGCAATGTAGATGTGCAACCTGAGTATTAAACTCAGTCAGGGACAGTTTAGAAATTCATTCCTGACATAAACTCTCTATCAATTTACAAATAGTTATGCAATGTAAATGTAAATTGATAAGTTTTAACTGTCCAATGCATTTTTTCAAATCGCAAATTCTAAGGGATAATACCTAAATATCGCTTATAAAGTAGTATACTATAATGATGAGATAATTAGGTATGAAACATTATTATGTGAACTCGGCTTTTACTCTCAAGAAACATCTAAAAGATTCTAGAAGGTTCTAGAAAGGCGGTTGAAGACCGTTACATTCCAGAAGCATGATGCAATGCATGATGCAACGCTGAAACACGTTGCAACCTGCAAGGCCCGTTGCAAGCCGCATAGCGATGAGTCACCAAAGAAGCACCGCTATCGCTACTAAGAATACGATAAGGAAAGTCGGAGCGCCCGGCGATGAGTCATCAAAGGAACGCCGCTATCTCTACTAAGAAGCCATCTCTCCGGGACTTAACCGTCGCAATCTCTACCAGGAACAGATTGTCTCCGGTACTTCCCCGGCATATCTCTCTTGCCATTGGCTAAGCCGCATCGCCCGATGGGAGGAGCGAGCCACATTTTACGGTATATAACCCCTGCGCCCGGCACGGAACGGCAGTGATTTCGTCGCAGTGGTTCCAGTCAACAACAATCCAGCACTCAACCAGCAAATACTACGGGGTCCTGAAGACATAGCCGCCATTTTGGTGAGACACAGCCGCCATTTCGGACCGAGGTACCGAGGCTCCTCAGATCTTCAGACTCAGAGGGAAGAACACAGTAGCGAAGTGTACCATAGTAAGGCACATTAGACATTGTCTAACCTTGTGAGTATTTAAGCCAGTTCACATATCCCTAAATAGTAAAGCGCGACGGGCACTCATTATATTTAATCATTATATTTAATTATCCAATATTAACTCAATCTTACATTACCTTTCGAACTCTGAATTTTGAACATAGGCATAAGCCATATATTACTCTGCGTTTCCGATATTATTCCAATCTACGATTTGCATCTGCACACGTCTGCGTTACAATCGTCGATCTATTCAATATTCTATCCAATACTATTCAATACTATTTAATCAATTTCGCATACTTATTTGATCTATTATAATAAATATACTTATGTATTTTATTGTATCACTGCTTACTTATATATGTATGTAACCCTGTATCCTACCACATATTAGCGAATTGAATGCCGCTAATTCCTCTGTACACATTAGAAACTATATCCTGTCAGAAGGTACATTCGCAAGTCATCTCTGAGGTGCACGTTTAGTAAAGTGAACGTCGCATTAGCCTATTAAGACAAGGACCAGAGAACCCGGCCTAGCCGGATGAACACCTATCTCTCTATCGCTTTTACGCTTTTATTACCTTGCATTTTCCAATAGTTGCGAATACTTTACCAAACCGAATAACAGAGGTCTTGATAATTACTAAGAATTATTACTTCAATATTTAAGACTTAAATCTTTGATGCTTGAAAGTACAAATATTAATATTCTTGATATAGATATTAATACATGTACTAAGACTCCTTTCCCTATTCCACATTATTACCAATTCTCTTTCAGTATCGTTTAATTATAATTATAATTGACACAACGCTTAATTAATTAACAGGTGAAGGGCATTCTCGTATAGATTAACCTTTCATCTCGTCTCTAACTCTTTAACACGTAAATCACGACTTAAACGTGAGTCACATTCAATTACCTTTGATTATTTAACTATCTCAGTTCTATTAAACATATTATTCATATAAATTTATTTAACCATTAGATGGTCTCTCCCTTCCGAAGGAAGAATCAAATTGATCGCGACGAGCAACGTCTCCACAGACTACGCGAACGTAGGACAAGAAGAGTCTTAAATTTACATGTCCAATATTTTCTACGCGAGTAATCGTTCGATCCCCTTCTCCAGACGTTCATTCGCCTATAAATAACCTTCCGCCCTACATTGATTATTCTCACCCGCAATTTCCGGAGCCCTCGCCGTTAGAATCAAATACGTTAATAACGAACCCTAATCATCAATTCTTACCCTGAATATTATATCCCGGATCAAAATCTACCAATCACATCGCCAGAGTACGACCCCATTTTACAATTTAACAACGAACAAACCTTTCACATTCTCAACGAGGACACCGCGAATCTCACTCACGACGTCGATAACGTCATCCCCGAGGAAGCGCAAGATAACTTCACTTCTTTTATAACTTACCTCAACCAGCCTAACAATCCGGAACTGGAGCTCAGTCATATTGTAACTCAATTTCAAGCTCCCCACGAACCACGTCAGGACCAATAAACTTTATATCGACGTAAAGGTTTTATAAATGAATAAATGACATTATATTTGTAAAATATCTTTATTTATCGACCCGACCCGTCAGTTTCCTTCTCCGTCCGATACTCTCAATCGAATCTCAAGCTCTCGGCTTCCCTGGGTATAGCCGGCCTAGCAGGTTGCCCATAAAACAAATAGAGAGCAGCTTCTTAAACGTCCACCGAGGTAGACGCGAGAGAAGACCGTCTTGTGCAGAAGGTAATTTATCGCTAGATGAATTATTGGACGTAACACTGGACAGTCAAGTGAGGAGCGCGATTAGACTGTGGTTGCGATTGCCGGGTGATGTTCCCATGGCTTTTTTCCACTCTCCAATTAAGAAAGGTGGTTTGGGCGTTCTGTCATTGGAGACATTGATTCCCAGACTAATGTTGGCGAGGTTGGAGCGACTTGTACAATCATCATACGAGGAAGCCCGTATCGCTGGAGGTAGTGACTGGGGTAATAAGAAGAGGCGTTGGTGTATGTTGGCCAGAAAACAGGAAGAGGGGTGGCCAACGGAGTTGTATGCAAAGGTGGACGGATATGAGCTTCGGGAAGCGGGCAATGTTTTAGCGTCTACTCGTTGGCTCGATGACTTTATGGTTCACATACCATCTTCAGACTGGCTCAATTATATTAAAATATGGGTAAATGCGCTCCCTACAAGAGTGAGGACCACACGAGGATCCAAGCGTGATGAGGAGGACGTCAACTGTCGGGGTGGCTGTGGAGTCCGGGAGACGGCGGCTCATGTAATCCAACAATGTTTCAGGACACATGGAGGCAGAGTTATGCGCCATGATGCGGTGGCGTCAGTCCTGGCATCTGAGTTGCAGCGGGCGGTTTTACAGTCCATCGGGAGCACGTTTTCCGCACACGGGTTGGAGCTAGAAAGCCGGACATAGTAGCATCCAAGGGAGAAGAGGGCCGCATATTGGACGTCCAAATAATCTCGGGCGCTCGGTTGCTCGCTGAGGGACACAGGAAGAAGAAGGTCTACTACGCGGGGAACGCGGAGCTCCTTGAGCAGGCCTCTAGTTTGTTACAGGTTCCACCCCGGAAAATGGAGGTCTCTACAATAACACTCTCTTGGCGAGGGGTGTGGGCTACGGAATCGGCTAATACACTGGAGGCGCTTGGTATCTCAAAGGCAGTCATAAGGGGAATCACAACCAGGGTCATTAAAGGATCCTATATGAACTTTGCACGGTTCAATCAAACAACATCTGTCACTCGAGGGCGTGCCAACCTGAGGATGTCTGGATGGGGACCACCAAGATCTTAATTTGTTATTATTGTATCCATGCAATAGATTACATGTTTACCTTGTTTGTATGTAATGTAATCAATTATATATATGTATCATGGAAAATAAATGTATTAAATAGCCAAATGCCTCGTCATCTAATTAGTGACGCGCATGAATGGATTAACGAGATTCCCACTGTCCCTATCTACTTATACTGCCTCGTGATGCGTCACCTTGACGAGGTGAGGCGGCTTGCGTTCCTCAATGACTCTCGAGATTTGTTTGCGTCACATGCTCCAATGTACACCAGAGAGCACTTGGATCACAGATAAGATGGCGGTTGGATCAGATGGGTTTATGTGCACCAACGCTCAGTGACACGAACGGATTTGAGCACTCCCTTCCCTTTCAATCGCACATCGTACATCATTGACCGATTAGGTTAGGTTTTGACAGCATGGATCGCCTAGGTTTTTTTGACGGTTTTCGCATTATAATAATAAATAATATTAATGATGACGTTTTTGCAGAAAATCCTGTACCTTTGGCAGGAATTGGTGAATTGTTAGAAGACAATGGGAACGACGATGAAATAGAAAGTGAGTATTAATGATAAAGATGTGACGTTTCTAATTTTGGTGTAATCTCTAAAAATCTTGTAATTTTAAATTCATCTTTCCTTAAGTAGTTTGTGCATTTTTATTGAATTTTATATAATTTGTATTTGCAGATATTGCCATTAACGCAATCGTTGAAATTGCAGAAGGTTTTGTTCAAAGAATACATAGGACATGCATAACCAATTACATTGAAAATACAGTGCCTATGTATACAGATAGAGAATTTGTTATGCATTTTTTTGAAAAGAACGCTTTTTATGAGTATAGTAGAGAAATTTAATCATTGGCCATATTTTAGAAATTTAGGAGGTAAGTATTGATTTTTTAAAATTAGATATGTATACTAAAAATTTTGGACTTTATTTTGAATAAAGTTTGATTAATATTTATATAGGAAATGGAGGATTCAAGGTAGTTTCAGCTGAAAAACATATTCTCACTTTTTTATGGTTTGCTGGCCATCAAAGTGCTAGTTTCAGAGATGTTGCTGACAGATTCGATCTCTCTCTTACAAGGGGAGTGCACGACGTGCCCCTCACCGATTCAAACGAGGATTTTTTTATGTATAGTACCTAATTAGAAACAAGTTCTGTTAAAGCGAGAGAACGCGCTTCTCAAGCATTCGTCTGAAAAAAAATGTTGAAGATTTGCCAGCACTTCTTAAGACGTTGCAAAGAAGCATTATCGAAGCGCCCCGGTGGCTTGGTTGGTAGTGTTCTTCTTTTGTAACTGCGAGATCGCTGGATCGAATCTCGCCGTGTGAAACTATTTTTTTTCTTTTATTTTTGTATAATTTATTTTTTTTGTTTTTAGGAACATTTTATAACATTAATAAATATTTTTTTAATAATTGACATTTAAAAAATTTTTAACATTTTGTTCCATATATTAAAAAAAAATTCGATTGCTTTCTGTCAAAAATATAATATTAGGAAATGTTTAATATTATACGAGAAATATATCACTACTAAAATAAATTAGTAAACAATTATCAATAATAATGCGGATAATTTGGTAATATTTTTAATTATTTTTTATTGTACAATTATTAAAAATATTTTAAATTTTCTAGCTCTAGAAATAAAAATATTTCTTAAAAGTTTTATACGTTAGAGCTATATTTTTATTATTATGCTCGGTCTCGAATCACTTTTTGTATATCTGACCTGGAGCAACAATAGCTACGAGTTTCGACCATAAGGGATCAGCCGCTTTGTTGAAGTAAGAGAGGGGAGAATCGTACAGGAGAAGACAGGCAAAGCGTCGGTTTTTGAAATAGTCGACCGTTAGTTACGACAGTACAAGGAAGACGTTATAGACAGTGCCGTGAAAATTTCGAAGATGGAATCAACATCTGATTCTTCGATAAAAAGCGATGTTGAACAAAAAGAATCGCTTGCAGGAAGTAGTAAAGATGAAGAAGTTTTGTTAAACGAGGAATTTGCGAAACTCCAGCTAAAAGATTATTTTAAATTTACTTATTTATTTTATAGTAGTGATATATTTCTCGTATAATATTAAACATTTCCTAATATTATATTTTTGACAGAAAACAATCGAATTTTTTTTTAATATATGGAACAAAATGTTAAAAATTTTTTAAATGTCAATTATTAAAAAAATATTTATTAATGTTATAAAATGTTCCTAAAAACAAAAAAAATAAATTATACAAAAATAAAAGAAAAAAAATAGTTTCACACGGCGAGATTCGATCCAGCGATCTCGCAGTTACAAAAGAAGAACACTACCAACTAAGCCACCGGGCGCTTCGATAATGCTTCTTTGCAACGTCTTAAGAAGTGCTGGCAAATCTTCAACATTTTTTTTCAGACGAATGCTTGAGAAGCGCGTTCTCTCGCTTTAACAGAACTTGTTTCTAATTAGGTATTATACATAAAAAAATCCTCGTTTGAATCGGTGAGGGGCACGTCGTGCACTCCCCTTGTTAGTACTCTTGAATCTGTCTTACGGAGGGTTACACAGTTTTTGCATGATATGAGGAATGAAGTTATTCGGTATCCTACTGAAGTAGAGAGACAAAGAACGCAAAGATACTATCTTGAAAGTAAAGGTTTTCCAGGAGTAATTGGTAATAATGTGATTTTCTTCGATGATATATTTAATTTATCACAGTTTTGTAATTCAGTATGTGTAATCTAATTATATTAATTCATTTAATGTATTTCTTTTCTGTTATAGGATGTATTGACGGCTCACATATCCGTATTGACAAACCTTCTGAAGACCCAGTTCGAAATCGAACGGATAAAGAAAGCTGAAAGGAAGGGCATTAATGTATTACAATCAAATTCATGCAATATAAGCATGCAGCATGCACATTACGTATATAAAACCTTAAATTGTAACCGACAGACTTTAATATTATTTAAATCGCGCTCGGCCGCACAAGTATACATATACCTCGCGCCTGCGAAAAAAGAAGCGCTTGCGTTAACTTTCACTTTAATCGTAAACACCGCGGTCGCGCGAGAGGAGAGAAAATCAAGTGCCAATAACAACAAAATATGACTTGCTAAAAGGTAAATAATTATCGTAAACGTACTTTCGCCCTTAACATCTCGATCGAACAAGGGAAAATGTTCGCGAAGGTTCTCGAAATCCGGGCCTATATAAACCTCCTCTCTCGTGACCGCGGCGCTCTTTCCGATTGCTCGTCGCGAATAGAGTGTGCTTCTACTTTCCGAAAAAGATCGCTTGTCTTTTTCGGTTTTCTCGTCTAATTACCGTTGCTTGCGGAACAGTCAGTAATTTATTTTCGACCCGGCTTTTCTCTCGTTTATTGCATTCATTTCTTATACATTCGACTCGGCTATCTTTTGGTAATTTCTGTGCGGTAAAACAATTGTAAATTTTGTTAATAGTTGAAATATATTTTTTGTTAACGATACGCGTGTGTCGAGTGTAGTGCCTATCTATCGTCTCGCTTCCGACCGTCCTTTCCCGCTATCCGTTGTGCACATTTTTTGAGTGGCTTATATCAATAGAAAGCATTATTTTTCTGTACACATGCAAGGGACCGTTAATGAACAGAAAAAGTTTTTAGATGTATTAATTGGCTATCCTGGTTCAGTGCACGATGCAAGAGTATTTGCAAATTCCAGTTTGGCTGAAGATTTGCCAATATTTTGTGGAAGTATGAACTTATTACATTCATAATTAATTACTGTATTTTAATCAAATATTTTTATATTTCTTATTCAATTCGGTTAAAATCGTAGATATTTTGTAGATATGAACTGGTAATTATCTATAGTTTCTGTTGTCGATATCAGTAGGCGCGACGGCGTCGCTCTAATTCAAATTATTGTTGATCGACTGGTGGCTTGTACAGCCTCGTGAAGGCTCGCTCCGAGAGGAAAGTGATTACAGCAACGAACATATGTTTACTTGTATTTGCAGCTGATCGATAGCACGGTTCGCAGAGATCTGATTCTCGGTTTTCGGGAGCGTTCCGAGTTTTCGTCACGGAATCCCCTCTTTCTCGGGATCGGATGTTTGTTTCGGCGAATCGGAGCGACGAAAGAATAGGAGTAAATAAAATGTACACGTGACAGCGTGACTCTTATCACATGGGATGGTGAACAAGGTCGATAATGTTGTCGTGTGTCGGTTCGAACGATCGAACCTTTCCGTTGATATACGAGCGATTAATATAAGAGTCTATTGATTATACAAATTTATGATATGCGTCAACATACCGTCCGCCTCGAATGTGATTGACATTCTATATGAATACAATATTTGCGGTCAATGAAATTTAACGTAAATTTACAATATTCAATCGGACAGTTACAATCCAATGCCGCCCGCCATGGCGGAATGATGTTCGCTATCATTGTTGATGTCGACCGGAAGAAAACAAAGTTTTGTAATGGGGCGCTTGAACTCGGATTCAGCCGTTTTAACAGTAACGACTCGAACGAGCCGATCGCTGCCTGGATGGCATTTAACTATACGCCCAAGCTTCCATCGACTTGGAGGGGCAAGTGAATCGCGAAGTAAGACTAATCTACCGGGTGTGGCTAGAGTTTGTACAGAACGCCATTTAGGGCGTTGTTGTAAGGTATTCAAATACGTATCTTTCCATGCCTTCCAGACGCGTTCGCTTAATTGCTGCACTAGTTGCCAGCGAGATAAACTATTTTCGGCGAGTTCGAGTAAGCTCGGCTCCGGGATCGAGCTTAAGGATGCGCCGATCAAAAATGACCCGGAGTCAGAGCGGTATAATCGTCTAAAGCGTCGGACACGGAAGCGATGGGACGAGAATTTAAGAAAAGTTCGATACGGCATAGTAATGTGGTTATCTCTTCGAACGTTAAGGTGTGCGTTCCAATAGCGCGTTTAATGTGATGTTTCACAGAGCGTACGGCAGCCTCCCATAGGCCTCCAAAATGCGGCGCAGCGGGAGGTATGAAATGCCATGCAGTATTTTCTTGAGCTATGTAATTTTGAAATGCTGGATCACGCGTGGCTGCATGGAAAGAGGCCGTAAGCTCTTGATCGGCACCTTGAAACGTGGTACCGTGATCGGAGTACATTGCATGCGGAATGCCACGACGTGCGGATAGATTGAGTTGAATCCGTCGAATCCAAAAATTATGAGCGGCGACCAGCTCATCGGACCGGAGAGCATGCGGGTGCGAGTGAGAGGCATCGCATTGTGTTTTCGTCTGGGTACGAGCGTTGCGAACGAAACGAAGGATATACGCGGTGACGCGCAGTAATTTCGGCCACGAGGAAAATCGGGATTCAAGCTCCCAATAGTTTACCGAGCATGTCGCGCAAGCTTTTGAATCGCGTAATTCACTATGCGTTGCCGGGATGTCGGATATGACTGGCCATTGATCGGACGAATGTGATAACTATGGTGGGCCGTGCCACCAAAGTTGGTGATTAATAAGAGAGGCAGGGTCGGTACCGCGAGATGCGCAATCTGCGGGGTTGTCGTGCGTGGGCACGTGATTCCATTTTCATTGGGAAGAAGCTGTTGCATTTTTGAGACTCTATTTGCGACAAACGTCTTCCACCGCGAGGGACTTTGACGTATCCAAGCGAGGACGATGATACGCGGCAAGGAACGACGCGGTAGTATAATCCGATACTGCGTCTAGGTGCAGTGCTTTCGT